TGCAGGCACTCTAACGTGCACGTAGTCACTGCGTTAAAATATAGTCTATGTATTTAAAAAGATTTGGTGTTAATAATATTTATTTATTCTCCTACATAAAAATATCTGGATATCCGTTAAAAATCTAAATCTGTATAAAAAAATTTGATAAAATATTGTAATTTCGCTAATAATCGCGATTTTATCCTAAATTTTGCTAGTAAATTTAATAAAATAAAAAAATCGCGATTTCGTCCTAAAATTGGAATTTTTTTAACAAAACTTTTTTTAAAAGTTAAAACAGTTTTAACAAAAGTCGTTTTAAATTGTAATTTTTTAACAAAATTATTTCATTAGTAAATTTATTTTTTTTATAAATATTGCCAGTAAATTTAACAAAAGAGAATGTCAAGATAAAATTCGAAATTGTATCAAAAAAATTTGACAAAAAAATATTGTTATTTCGCAAATAATTGCGATTTTCCTAGTGATGCAACGGTTCCGGTTTTTACGGTTACGGTTACGGTTACGGTTAGCTCTACGGTTACGAATACATTCACGGTTATTCAAAAAAAAAACAGAATTACAAAAAAATTAAGTTTATTGTTTGAAATGAAATTAATACACACGTTCAGTAAAGGTTAAATAATAATTTATGTAAAACAAAAACAGAATTTCTAATAAAAATATAAAACAAAAGGAAATAAGTAACATTTTAAACCTAACAACAGTAAAGTAAAACCTAAGTAGGTACCTGAATAAAATATTTTAAAAAATAAAAAAGTTAATATTCAAAATTTAAGACAGTCAAATTTTTATTTAAAAAAACATAACATCTGCAAATTCTGCGGAATCAGCCTGTTCCTATTTGGTATTTGCACAAGACCTGCAGTCGAAAACAACCTCTTCGAATTCACTGACAATGGTTTGTATGATAAATACCTTAGTGTCAACACTCTCAAACGCCAAAACGTGTAACACGTTTTTTAGAATGAAAACGGATTGGACGTATGTGGTATATTTGGTAACGTTAAATACTCTTCAATCTTCTTTTTACATGCATTCACAAAGTAGCATGAAAAACCGTAAATGCCGTATACGGTTACGAGTAACCGTATAATATCGAAAACCGTGAATTAACCGTAACCGTAACCGTTGCATCACTAGATTTTCCCTAAAATTGTCATTTTTTTAACAAAACTTTTTTTAAAAGGTAAAAAAGTTATAAATTTTAATTTTTTGACAAAATTTACTTATTTCATTAGTAAAAATTTTTTTTTTGATAAATTTTGATAGTAAATTTAGAAAAATAAAAAAAATTTCAAGATAAAAAAATAAAAATTAAAAAGATTTGGTGTGAATAATATTTATTTATTCTCTTACAAACATAAAAAAACCTTCATCCTACAGAGCCCAAAAACTAAATAACCTTCCAATTAAAAAAATATCTGGAATTTTATTTCGAAATATTTTGTCTATATTTTTTGTTATAAATAGTTTAAAGTATCAAGATTTATAAAGATTTATATTGTAAATAATATCAAATTTTCAGTGCCAAAGTTTAACTTAAGGATTATACTAATAAAAAAGATAGATAATTGAGGAGTGATTTTTCAAAAGGCCTTATTTCCATTTTTACTTGAATGTAATTTTTTGACAAAATCCCAAAGGTATGGTTAAAAGGCATATATTAACGGCGAAATATGACAGCAGGTCTGAAGTATTATTAAATATTCATCAGAATTTTTTTTTTAATAATCTATATTGCCCTAACCTATACAGGTTATAGTCATTTTTTTGAAAAATTGTTGTATCCAGATTCTGGATATCCTTAACAGTGGTATTAAAAAAATCAATATCACAATTATCTACCTTTTTCTTTAGTATAAATTATCCTTAAGTTAAACTTTGGCAGTGAAAATTTAATATCTTGATACTTTTAACTATTTACAACAAAAAATATAGACAAAATATTTTGAAATGAAATAAATTCCACAGCATTCTAAAATTTCTCGATTGTATTACTTGTGCGCAGCCGCCCCAGTTGGCTCAGGATACAAGTGAAGGTACTTGCGAAGTGGTGGGTTGCATCCACTCTGTCTATCCGTTCCACTCGTTTCCCATGGAGGAGCCCATGCGGACCAAGTGGATAGACGCGTGCGGCAACAACAATTTGCACACAGCCAACGATCTGCATTTGAAAAAAGTGTGCCACAAGCATTTCGCCGAGGGTTACGTTAACAGATACGATAGGCTTATAAAGAACGCGTGGCCCTCGCTTTGTTTACCATGTAAGTGAATTTATTTGAATGGGTGCTGTTAAAAAATGGGACAAACTATAATACCTACCTATTTAAAATTTTTTTCGTGTTTTTTAGTTAAAATGCCAAATATCGTTAATAAAATAATAATAATAAAATCGAAATCTATACAAAATATTTCGCAGATAATCGCGATTTTATTGTAATTTTTTTAACAAAATTTACTTACTTCATAAGTAAAATAATTTTTTTTTTAATTTTGCTAGTAAATTTAATTAATAATTTATGTAAATAAAATTCAAGAACAAAATCGAAATCTGTATGAAAAAAAATTGACAAAAAAATATTGTAATTTCGCAGATAATCGTGATTTTATCCTAAAATTGTAAGTTTTTAACTAAAGTCATTATAAATTATATTTTTTTAACAAAATGTACTTATTACATTAGTAAAAATTTTTTTTTATAAATTTTGCCAGTAAATTTAACAAAATAAAAAAATTTATAGATAAAAATCGAAATTGTATAAAAAAAATCGACAAAAAAATGTGGAAATTGTCGAAATTGTATATAAAAATGTATAAAAAATTGCGATTTTATCCTAAATTGTCATTTTTTATCAAACTTTTTTAAAAGTTGAAAGAGTTTTTAACAACTAAAGTCGTTATAAATTATAATATTTTAACAAAATGTATAAAAAATTGCGATTTTATCCTAAATTTGTCATTTAAAAGTTTAAAAAGTTTTTAACTAAAAAAGTCGTTGTATTTTTTGGACAAAATTTACTTATTTCATTATTAATTTTTTAAAATAAATTTTGCCAGAAAATTAAATGTTCTATTATCACGTAAATATTGTAGTTCCAGAGATAATTGCCATTTCATTTAAAATTTGTCATTTATAGACAAATATATAACTGGGTCAGAATTTCTCAAACGGGCCACCTGAATTAGGTCAAAATTAGTTTTTGTTTGTAGATACATTTTTTCGATAGTATTTTACATCACTAACACAAATCCTAAAGGATTTTGTAAAAAAAAAATTTTCAATTGACATATTCATGATATTAAAAGTCAAAGTTTTTAATAATTAAAAAATAAAAAAATTCATTATGGCTGAACTAATTATCCGATTCCAACGATATAACTAGCGTTGGAATCTTGTTTTGACATAGATTCTTTGTTATTTTTTTCAATTCTCCAATTTTCATTAAGGTCGATTTTTTTTTGTTTTTTTATATCAAATTCGGAAATAATTGGCTTCTGCGCCAGCTATCGACTCGAAAAAAAAAAACACATATACTCTAATCATTTCTCGAAATTATGCTGCTGAGAAAAAAAATGGCCCGCAGGTTGACAAAAAGTTATTTGTCCCGTCGCAAGCGCGTACAGCATACACGGTTCGGAGCGTGAGCTGACACCGCGCGCGGCCACAAAAGGACGAATAACTTTTTGTCAACCTGCGGGCCATTTTTTTTCTCAGCAGCATAATTTCGAAAAATGATTGGAGTATATGTGTTTTTTTTTCGAGTCGATAGCTGGCGCAGAAGCCAATTATTTCCGAATTTGTTATAAAAAAAACAAAAAAAAATCGACCTAAATGAAAATTGTACAATTGAAAAAAATAACAAAGAATCTATGTCAAAACAAGATTCCAACGCTAGTTATATCGTTGGAATCGGATAATTAGTTTAGCCATAATGATTTTTTTTATTTTTTAATTACTAAAAACTTTTACTTTTAATATCATGAATATGTCAATTGAAAAATTTTTTTTACAAAATCCTTTAGGATTTGTGTTAGTGATGTAAAATACTATCGAAAAAATGTATCTACAATCAAAAACTAATTTTGACCTAATTCAGGTGGCCCGTTTGAGAAATTCTGACCCAACTGTCATTTATAAAGTGGGATAGCGCGGCGATTAGATATCAGCTTGACAACTGGGACACCGGAGTTCAAACCCCAGAACCGTCATATCTTTTTTAAATTTAAATCTACTAGTTTTGACTATTTCATCCAGTAGAATTTGACTAATTGTTAGTGACTGTCATAAAAATTAGTCAAAATAACAATTAATAGTTTTTGACCAATTCATTTATAGAGACTAGGTAGTAATGGGAAATTTTTAGACAAAATTCGACAAACTATTTTTTTACTTATTATTTAAGTAAATTTGTCATAAAATTGATAGTTTTGAAATAAAATGGGGATTATCAACAATTAAATTTAGTAAATTTACCAACGAAATTTACCCATTTTTTTTTTACAATTTTAGAATAAAACCGCGATTATCTGCAAACGACATTTGATAGGGACATTTCTTGTGGACAATTAAATTTTCTAACAGATGACGTAAAAAATTTTGTGCGCATAATTTTTTTGGCCTGTAAAAACCAAAAAATTAAAAGAAGAAAGAGAAATCGCTAATAAATAAATAAACACAAAAATACTAATAAACAAGGTTGTATTTTTTAATAAATATTTAAAAAAAATATGAATATTGTTCAAGTTTAAAGAGGTGGTTTGGTTGGTCCAATTTTTTAAAAAAGAAATACCCTTGGTTTTAAATTAAATATTTTGCAGCTGCTGCTCAAGTTAAGAAAAATAATCAGCTTATTGAAGATGTGGTAAGTTTTGTATTTTTTTAATTATTGTCTCTAGTTTTAGGAAGAATTTATATTTTTAAGTTTAGTTTTAACAGGTGCGCAGATTAAATATCCTCAGCAAAAATTCATCAGGTAAAAATTTGTTTCTTATAGACATGTCTACAGCAGGTGGCAAACCACAAACCCTCTGAGGGCAATGTGGAAGGTGGACTGACGACAGGCACGAAAAATGCCGAAAAAAAAATCGTGGAATGGCCTGGCGCCAGCACCAGCGACAACCGCGAAATTTCCTTCAATAAATTGCAAGGAAAAACCTACCCTTCGTTGGTGGTTGTGGCCAGACCCCAGCTAAGAGCCAACAACGTCAATGCAGATCGCGGAAAGTTAGACACAAAAGTTAAATCGGTATTGATGCATCCTCCCACGAAGTTCACCGAATGGTAAGTAAAGAATTTCATCGCCCTACTGTCCATAACTTGAAATTTTATATATATTTAGTCTAAAAAATAATGTAATCTTTTTAGATGAAACTTTATTTCTTAATCAACAAAAAAATTCGGTTTTATATTAATACAAAAACAGTTTTTATCCACTTTAGGTCGTCAATAAAATTTTTATTTAAACAAGAGCTGATAACGGGAAAAAAAACATTTTATTATTTTTTTCAGCATTTCAAAACTACTAAATTTTATTGATAATTTATAACTATTTACAAAAATTTATCCTGTCAAGTTATCCATGAAAAAACTAATAGTAACATGGTATAAATATTCCCATGCTTACTTTTGAGTCAAAAGTTTTGACAAATAAAAATTTCAAAAGAAACTTAAAACAACAATGAAACTAAAAATAGAGAATACCAAAAATTCTCTACAATTCAATTTTCGTTGCCTCTACTGCGCAAGAACTACGGGCTAGGGTAATACAAGCCTGCGCAGCCATTACTCCAAAACAAATATTGAAATAAATTGTAGATTAATAGAGGTGACAAAAATCTTATTGTAAAATTTTTTTGGAATTTTTTTTCATTGTTGTTTTAAGTTTCTATTGCGTTTTTTATTTGTTAAAACTAAGCATAAGAATATTTTTACACCATGCTACTATTAGTTTAATTTTATTTCAATGTTTTTTTATGGATAACTTGACAGAATAAATTTTTGTAAATAGTGCATTTTTAATTAAGCTACAAAATCGTTCCTACTTAATAAATTTCATAATTAATAATTATTAATAATTTTTGTTTTGAGTAATCCAGTGCCGTTCATATATATTTTTTAAATTCTTAAAAATTTACTCTTAAAAATTGACATAGTAGGCCTTGTATTTTGAAAAAATATGGTGTTTTTTCTCCAAAAATACAGTTTATCAAGATCTACATAAGTATATTTTATTTTGTTGTAAACAAAAAATATTTTTAAAGAATTTTTAACATAAATGATTTTATCAACATTTTTAAAGATGTATGCTGTATCTTGAAAATAACTTTTCGAAAAATGTTAATAGGACAAATAGTAAATATTTGTATATATTGTATATATCTTCTATACAAGATGTCCCTGAAATAATACCAAATATTCCTGAGAACAAAATAATGCTAGCTATACAAAAGTTGACAATAACCAAGATACAAGGTGTCAAAGTTGAAAGTTCGTTTTCAATTTTATTATTATTTGGAAAAAAACAAGGGTTTTAAAGTGTTAAACCGAAAATCGTTAAAATTGGGGAAAGAACCTGTTTATTTCGTTTTCTTTAACAGGCCTTGGTAAAATTGTCTTTTTTGGGTAAAATTGATTTTTTTATGGAAAATACACATTAAAAAAAAATAGCAAACCACAACATTATTTTAATAAACAAAATCTTTTACTATAGAACAAAAAAACCTAAATTGAATTGAATTGAATTAATTTGATTTAAGAAAATAAAACGTTAAAAAATATATTGTTTGTTAGGTCTTTTTTGCAAAAAAATGTCCATTAAAAATATCCAATTACAAAATAATGAATTAAATTACAAATTTATAATAATTATAAATTAATATATATTATAATTAATTATTAATAATAATATTTATCATAATTATAATATTTCTCGATATCAGAGTACGGATATTATCCGTATTAATTTGGACAATATCAGAAAAATTTACTTTTGTATTACCTTTTGAATAAAATGATAAAAATGCAAAAGTTAATTTTTCTAAATATTTTACAATTTTTCCGTTTTTCTTAAAATAATTAAGGTATGTTGTAGAAAGCGCTGTCTGCTACACAAGTGTCGCAGATAGCTCCTTCTACAACCTACATGAAGTTTTTTTAGTAAATTTAATGATTCCAGCCCAAAAAAACTAAATTTGTGCAAAAACCTTTGTTTTTTCTAAAGTTATTAAAATCCAAGGTGCTTATTATCAACTTTTGTATTAGGTAAATTTATTTTGGTCTCAAATTTGTAGTATTATTTTTTACAGGCATTTCAGGGACATCTTGTATATTATTTAAGTAATCTTTGAATTATTTTTACATTTTCAATTTTTTGCGTCAAATAGGATTTAACATTTTAAAAAGAAAATTTTAACAACTTTTTGTAAATCAAAAACAGATATTTTGGACACCTTTTCCCATCCGGCCACACTGTGCGGCATGATTAAAACATAAATATGTTTTTAAAGGTTGATTCAACAAGGCCTGGTTAAGTCGGAACAGCGATGCGCGGTCCACCAATCGCTGCTAAAGCTGGGCATGTACAGCGACGTGTCTAAATTTCCATATTCGGGCGGCTACGTCTGGATCTCGGAATGTTGCCCGCAACAATTCGTGTCGGTTTTCAGCGGTTCGCTGTTCGAAGGTTCTCCTCACCCGCCCATCGTCATTCTTAAGCTCCTCTACCACTGGGCGTGCCAAACCAACGTCCAAAACGTGACGCAATGGGTGAAAGTGAACAATTTGTACGTCAAAGGAATGTTCACTTACTTAAGATCGGTGTGCACTGTGGCTTTGCACACGCATGTAAGACGGCTGGGTGGTCCTGGAATTAAAGTGGAAGTCGGGGTTATTTCTTTGGGTACCACCTCACAAGATGGCGCGCAACGGCAAGTCAAAGTCGAGGTTTTGGGTATCTTGGAGACCGGTTCCAAGTTGATTAGGTTAAGAGCCGTAGAGCCTCTAGCGGACGGCGATAAGAACTACAGAAAGAGGTTTTTAAAGATTCTGGAGCCGGTGTTAAACTGGGTGCACCCCACTAGCACCATCGTAACCGACATGACGGTGGATAAAGTTACTTTGAACAATATGGGCTTCCACAACATAATTCAAAACACCAGCAGCGATTCTTCGGTAAACAACCGCGCCATAATGGAGTATTTGAGGAGGATAGTGCCGAGGATGTTCCAGAACACTTTATCCCTGCTCTCGCGGCAAATCATCCAGCAATTTTTGGACGAGTTGGTGTGGCGGGAGTGGTTCGGGACCACCACGTGTTGCACGTTCGACAACCTCATTCTGCATCTGGCAGAGCAAACGCGCGGGGATACGTCGTTGCTGGTGAAGTTGTGTCGCGTGTCGATGAACCCGTTCAAAAACTGGGCTCCGGTTAAACAGGGCGCCCAGGGGCCGCCGGTGCCGCCTCTGGTGCTGTCCGGGACGCCGCAGCAAAAAGGCAACGACAAACCGGCGAAAGGAAAGGGCAGAAGGACCGACACCCAAATGGAACCGAGACCGCCGAAAAGTAGTTCGCCGGACATTCCAGAGCAACTTGTGCCATTAGAAAATTATTATTACGGTAAGATTTTTTTTATTGGTTTAAAATTTTCCTAAATAAAATTCTCAAACTTCGGCAGTACCTTCAGAAGTGTCAAAAAGTAAGAAATGGTTTTTCTTACCTTTTTTGATTTTTTCTGTTTGGGGCTTAAATTAATTTAAAAAATTGAATTTTTGGGGGTACCTTCAGGATAGTAAAAAAGTAAAGAAAAACCTAGTTTGAAATTTTTTTTTTGCACTTTTTTAGGATTTTTCCAAATTTTTGTGGTCAGGGCTTGGGTTAAAAATGAATTTAAAAATCTGAAACTTGGATCTTCAAAATAGTAAAAAATAAGAAAAAACTTAGTTTGAATTTTTTTTTACAAAGTTATGAGTTTTTCCCACTTTTTTAGGATTTGTTGTAATTTTTTTATTAAAAGTGGTCGGGGCTCAGGTTAAAAATTAATTAATTAATTTAAAAATATGATTTTTTGGGAGTACCTGCAGGATAGTAAAAAAGTCAGATGAAATTTTTTTTAAATTATGAGTATTTTAGTAAAAAAGTAAGAAAAAACCTCGTTGGAATTTTTTTTTAATTACTAGTTTTTTCCACTTTCTTAGGATTTGTTTAAATGTAGTCGGGGCTTGAGTTAAAAATTAATTTAAAAATCTGAAACTTTGGAAGGATCTTCAAAATAGTAAAAAAGTAAGAAAAAACTTTGTTTGATTTTTTTTTTACAAAGTTATAAGTTTTTCCCATTTTTTTAGGATTTGTTCTAATTTTTTTTATTAAAAGTGGTCGGGGCTCAGGTTAAATTTAATTTAAAAATCTAAAACTTTGGCAGGATCTTCAAAGTAATAAAAAAGTAAGGAAAAACCTTCTAAACAAATTATGTGTTTTTTCTACTTTTTTAGGATTTGTTCTATTATTATGAGTTTTTCCTAATTTTTTATTTAGGTGGTCGGGGCCCAGGTTAAAAATTAATTTAAAAGTGTGAAACTTTGGGAGTAAAAAAACCTTGTTTGAAAACGAAATAAAGAAAAAATAGGCAAAAATTGTATTTTAATTTTAATTTTTTTTATTTATTATTTTTTTTCAAAGCGCATTTAAAATATGAGTAGGTATTATGTACTACTTCATCAGAAAAAAAGGTACCATTATTTTTTCCGTACAACTTTCTCTTTAAGATATGAATTGATATAATATAGTTTACATAATAAATAATTTATTTAATAAAGCATGGAAAGATTGGAAAATTATATTATGTTATGATTTTTTAAAACCTATCTTATCCATATTACACACCAAAGGACGAAAGGGCTCGTTAAGTGCAAAAAACGTAAAAAACAAAAATGGCTTTGAGGTCTCTTTAAATCATCCGCAACGCATTGTGGATGTTATTTCGCTCATCGAGCGTTTTCGTTCTACTATCCTAATGTTTTCAAACATAATATTAAAACAGCGAAAATGTCATTTCAGGTACCATTGACCATTACGTCACGTCGACCAAAATAACGCTAAACATAAAATGTCCACAGTGCAAAGAGGTGTTCACCAACAACTTGCAGCTAATGAACCACCTGTTCAAGCATGCGCACAACGTTTCGATGGACGCGCAGCTCTGTCGCTACTGCTTGACGAGCGTCCCCACCGCCAACGACATCCTCAAGCACTTCCTCAACGCGCACCCGTGCGAAACAAAGTTCGACAACGGGTTCGTGTGCCTCATCTGCGAGACGCACTACATGAACCCGTTTGTTTTAGGTTCGTCGCGTAGTTTTCACGATGTTTCAAATATTAACGGTATATTTTTTTCCCCCAGGTAAACACATGTCCAAAGAGCACTTCCCATCGGAATTGCCGTATCAGTGCGGATCGTGCTCGTACCGGTGCTCCAATCATAAGCAAATAATCGATCATTTTTACAAGGCCCACGATAACGGGCCCACCATCCAGTGCCCTTTCTGCTTAAAATCCACCACGGTCTACTCCTCTTCAAGGAATCTAGCGCAAAATATAACCTTCTTCATTCAACACCTTCAAAAGCATCAGAAGAAGCAGTTTGCCAAAAGATGCGGCAAATGCAATCTGTGGTTCATCAACAAAGACGACGTCAAAGAGCATCAGGTAAGTTTTTTCTGTACGTGCTACACTAGACTGGGGTGACAACAACAAAATATAGTGAAAGTTTGAGTCCATAATATTAATATTAAGAGGTCTATCATCGCAATTTTAGATTTTTTTTTCCTGAGCGAGTTTTTGTCCCAGAACTCCCAAACCATTGAGTTTAACAAAATTGACTTAAGAATATTTTTTGAAGAAAATTGAATGCTCTAAAAAGTCTGATTAAAATTTCCCGTCAGATGAACCGTTTCCTTACAATCATAACTTGGTATAGTTTTACAATTTGATCTTTTAACTTGGGATTTTCTAATTCATGTAAAAATCAGTACCCGGAAAAAACCGATAGATATTCTTATTGGAAATCAAATGCTCTACAAAAAAAGTCTACTAACATTTTTGGCTAAATTCACTCCATCAAAAGTTATTCAAGGTTAAAGTTGAAGTCAAAACGAAATTCTTGTTTTTCCGCTGTAGATTTTTTTTGGATCAGTTAAAAACTTGAATTCTTTTATCGATGCTATTATATATGCTATTGATAAAATTCTTGAAAATTAAAAAAAATATTAACACATTTGAATTTTCTTTAGAAAATATCATTTTCACTGTTATTTAATTGTTTAAATAATAATAATGTTTTTTTATTGGAAATTGTTAATTAGTTATATAATACCCATTTATAAAGAAAAAAATCAAATTATCATTTATAAAAAAATAAATATACAGAATTTCGTTTTGACTTCAACTTTAACCTTGGGGCCATTCCACGCTTAATGGATAGGACAGTTGCCGTGTTTTTATTTACAAAATAATATTGTTCTATTATATTACCAATGTTAAATTTTTATAAATAGTTCTAAACAAAAGCTGTTTAACAAGGTTTTTATTTGGCAAAATTAGGTATCGTGATTGACTGTTTAATTTCTTAAAAATTAATAATTTAAAGCGTAATGGACGGGACTATTACAAAGTCCCGTCCGTTACGCTTTAAATTATTAGTTTTTAAGGAATTAAACCGTCAACCACGATACCTAATTTTGCCAAATAAAAACCTTGTTAAACAGCTTTAGTTTAGAACTATTTATAAAAATTTGACATTGGTAATATAATAGAACAATATTATTTTGTAAATAAAAACATGGCAACTGTCCTATCCGTTACGTGTGGAATGGCTCCTTGACTAACTTATAAGTGAGTGAATTTAGCCAAAAATGTTAAGAGACTTTTTTGTAGAGCATTTGATTTCCCATAAGAATATCTATCGGTTTTTTTCGGGTACTGATTTTTTACATGAATTACAAAATTCCAAAGTAAATTGTAAAACTACCAATTTTTAAGGCATAATTTTAAGAAAACGGTTCACATAAAGGAAATTTTCATTTAGACGTTTTTTGTAAAGCATTCAATTTTCTTAAAAAAATATTTCCGAGTCAATTTTGTTAAACTTAATGATTTGGGAGTTCTGAGACAAAAACTCGCTCAGGAAAAAAAAATTAAAATTCCGATGATAGAGCTCTTAATATTAATATTATAGACTCAAAATTTCACAATAATTTTTTTTGTCACCCTAAACAATATTTTCGATATAATTTACAAAAAAAAATAGTCGATTTTTTTGGCCCAGTCTAGTGCTACACCCCCTTCTATACCGCACTTTTCGCTCTCGCTGGAAGTTTCATGCTAAATAATTGTCTAATTGGCACGATTTAAATCGCTTGATTTAAATCAAGTGATTTTTTTTATTTTAATCAATGATTTCAATCAGTTTTAAAAAGTTTCTAAAATCTAAAAAACACTTAAAAGATCTAAAACTAATGTGCAATAATATCTTGACATTATTTAAATAAATTCATATGCATAGAAAAACCGCTTACTTTGTTAATAAATTAATAAAAGAATATACAAAAAAATATATGACAGTTGCGGACGGTGGTTTATTTGTTTATAAAGTAATGCCAATTTAATATTATTATAGTTATTTTTAGTATTTTTTTTAATAGTACACTTTATTAAAAATAGCTTATAATTTTAAATATTTTAGGTCATGAAATTGGGAAATTTTTTAAAAAGGTTTGTGTAGTCTTAAAAATTTTAAAATGGAAGCCCATGTCCAACAAAAAATCATTTTTTGTTGATTTTTTAGATTTTTTAATAAAAATCACTGTTTTTTTATTGTTTTTTAAATCATGATTTTTTTCAACCCTGGTTTGTTGTGAGAGTTGTGAGTAATTTGACTGAATTATAATTTTAATTTATTTATAAACATTACATTACATTTCAATAGTTACATTGAAAACAAAAAAAAGACAAAACTTGTAATAATAATTTTTATAAAAAATAATAATCTTATAATCCTTACATTAATTTTGTTCAAGCTTTTAAAGTAAAAATCAGTTTAATGTTGTACCTACATATATTTAATTTACCAGTGGATATAATTCATATTATAGGGTTTAAAACAGAGTTGCAAAAATGTTCATGTAAAAAATAATGCAATCGTAATTTTTTTAATGGTAATGTAGTTTGATTACATTAATCATTAAAAAAAAATTGTATGAGACATATTTTACACATTAAAAAATAAAAAATGAGTAATGTCAAACAATTCATTACTCATTAAAAAAAGTAATATAATGAAAAATATATAAATATAATAAAATTTATAAATAATTAAATATCTATTTTGAACAAAATTAAAATATATAACATTCTTTTCTTTTTAATGACCCCCCCTCTCTTAAAATGAGATTTGGTGAGATTTTGCTAGAGCCCTCCCGTCCCATTTTTATCTCGCGTAATTAATGGATGTCCCCTTAAGACAAAATTAACCTCATGTAGCCTCACCCTAAATTATTTGTTTTAGCAAAAAATGCATTGTTCCCAAAGAGGCAAAACAGGTCTGATAGGGTGGAGCGCGCCACGTAACGGTGTCATGGTGCCAAAATCAAAAATGGAGAAGTATCCGGGAGACGCTGATGTTATAAACTTTGGCACGTTATTCTTCAACGTTTCCAAAGCGGCGCGTTGTAAAGAATGCGACACGCCCATGAACTCTCCCAAACACTTTCCGTAAGAACAAAAAATACGTAACGTTATTCAATAATTAAAAAAAATATTGTAGGTCCTTCGAAACGTGCCAAAATCCGAATTGCCAGTACTCCACCTGTTGCACGTCAGCCATGCAAGAGCACAACGCCAGATGCAGCAAAAAATCCGAACTGGTTCCGGCTCCCGAACCGTTACCGTTCGATATGTTTTGCGTTTGCGGATACAGCAGCGGCGACGGCAACGTTTTGGCGAAACATCTCGCAATTTGCGAGAGAAAATCCGCCTATCCTTCGGTGCAATGCGCCAAGCAGGCCTGCGTCACTCACAGCATGTTGGACGTGTTGGGATTGGTCAGGAACCCGGAAACAGCAACCAAGCGTAAAAAAATAAAAAGAAGCACTCCCCCTATTGAAAAATCAGCCCCTATTGGTGTTAGTGACCAGGATTCGTCGATTATAAAAGAAGAAAAGGATGTCGTTGAATCGCCCAGCTTAAAACCCGATAAAACCGAACAATCTGCATCCAAAGTCGTGGAAATAGAAGATTCTCCACCCCCACAAACAGTCAACTCTGACAGTCCGAAGTCCGAAGACGACAAACTTATCGAAGAAAAAGCGAATGAAGAGGGTACTGAAAAACCAACAGATTTTGAGGAAATTAAAGATGATTCTATTGATGACGTAGACTTGCCCAAAGAAGACGAATCCTCGAAGAATATCACTGAAGCAATGGATGAAAAATCGCCCGAAATTTCTGAAGAAAAATCCTCGGAAACCGAGGTCTCGGAAGAAAAATCTGAATCGGAGTATATAACTGATGCCACTGAAGTAATAGAAATTTCGGAAGAAAAATCCTCGGAAACTGAAGATGCGGCAGATGTTACCGAAGCAATAGTGGAAAAAGGTTCTGAAATTGAAGATGTCGCTGAAGCAGTAATAAAAACATGTTCTGAAATTGAGGATGCCTCTGACGCAGTTGAAGAAAAATCAAATGAAAATGTAGCTAAAGAAATGGAAGAAAAACCCGAAGAAATTGGCGAAGCAGAGGAAAAATCTTCTGAAACTGAAGAAATTGACGAAGCAGTGGTAGAAAAATCTGAAATTGAAGAGGAAGTTGCGTCTGAGAGTACAATTAAAGGAACTGATTTTGTGGGCGGTTCTATAAAAGAAAATATTGAAACCACTTTGGATGTGAAAGATGACGAAAAAGTTTCTGAAAGTACAGAACCTGAAAACATCAGTATTGCACCTGTGGCTGCAATGGAGGTTGAAGAATCTGAAAGTAATGAAACTACTTTAATGGAAACAGACTAATTATAATTAATTAAGAAAAAAATATGTGTATTCAAAATGTTTGATAATAATTGTATTCAAATTTTATGAACATGGTTTTTATTTTGTAAAAGTTGGTGCATTAAATAACTCGAATGTTGTTCAATGTTCACAAATAGCTTGTTTTTATTTTTATAGTAATTCTATGTTTTATTAATTAATATACAAAATATTCCACATAATATTATTTTATTACTTACCAATGGTAAGTTACCATTATTATCTTAAGAAATTTAGTGGGCCCATAATACAAACTTTACTTTAAAAATAACAAGATGTGTAAATTTCTTAATTAGTACTGTCGAAAAAAAGGCTTTTCTCTGACCCCATTTAACCGAATCACAGGGAAAACTTTTACTTAAAAGTGGTAAGTTTTAGAAGAAAAAAAATTATAAACAAAAAAGTTAGGGGGAATCTCTTGTACGAAAAATACAAAAAGTAGGTGGCACTAAAGTTCCCAATGAAGTGTTTTATTGATTTTTGACCCCGAACTTTTTTTAACAGCACTAATTTAAAAAATTGTTTATTTCGAAAAAAACCTACAAAATTATTAAAAAATCGGTCTCCATTGGTATTGACCACGATTCATCGATTATAAAAGAAGAAAAGGATGTCGTTAAATCGCCCAGCTTAGAGCCCGATAAAACTGAAGAATCTGTATCCAAAGTCGTGGAAATAGAAGATTCTCCACCCCCAGAAACAGTCAGCTCTGAAAGTCTGAAGACGAAGAGGTTACTGAAAAACCAACAGATTTAGAGGAAATTAAGGATGAATCCATTGCTGACGTAGACTTGCCCAAAGAAGACGAATCCTCAAAGAATATCGCTGATGCAATGTATGAAAAATCGCCCGAAATTTCCGAAGAAAAATCCTCGGAAACTGAGGTTTCGGAAGAAAAATCCGAATCGGAGTATATAACTGATTCCGCTGAAGTAATAAAAATTTTGGAAGAAAAATAATCGGAAACTGAAGATGCAGCAGATGTTACCGAAGCAATAGTGGAAAAATATTCTGAAATTGAAGATGTCGCTGAAGCAGTAGCATGTTCTACAATTGAGGATCAAATGAAAATGGTAACTGAAGCAATGGAAGACAAATCCGAAGAAATTGGCGAAGCAGAAGAAAAATCTGAAATTGAAGAGGAAGTTGCGTCTGAAAGTACAATTAAAGGAACTGATTTTGTGGGCGTTTCTTTAAAAGAAAATATTAAAGATGACAAAAAAGTTTCTGATAGTACAGAACATGAAAACATCAGTATTGCACCTGTGGCTGCAATGGAGGTTGAAAGTTCTGAAAGTAGCGAAACTAATGGAAACAGACTAATTATAATTAAGAAAAGAATGTGTATTCAAAATGTTTTATAATAATTGTATTCAAATTTTATGAACAATGTTTTTTATTTTGTAAAAGTTGGTGCATTAAATATTCCACAAAATATTTTTTTATTACTTACCATTATTATATTAAGATATTGATAAAACATTATTTTGGGTACTTACTTTGGATTTTTTTCAACTTTCATAAAAGAAAAATAAAACACCTACATTATAATTATTTATTTTATAGAAATAAATCCTACATGCTATTTTACCTTATTTAAACGATAATTTTGGATAGTTACATATAATTATTAACAGAAAAGTAAAACATTTGTTTCATAAGGACTTTAATGTTAAAAGTTTTACGAACACCAAGAAAAATATAAAAAATTTATCAATAAACAGTTTATCTTACAAAAAACAAATCATATCAGCATCACTCCCATTATAACACCAAGTGATAATTTTAATGTTTAAAAAATATTTTTTTTACTAACATGAACCAAAAGTGTAACATAAATTATCACTTGGTAACAGTCGTAATTTTTAAATCGTCAGTCAAGTAAGGTAAGCTGTTCATGAAATAAAGTATCTTTATGAAAACATTGATAATTTACTTCTCTTCCTCTGGCGAATGCCAGGCAATTCTATCTTCATAGAACTGTATAACCACTTGTGGACATTTGAGGTTAGCTTCTTTGGCTGGCACCAGGTCTGTTTCATCAGTATTTTGCCACTTCATAAGAAACATTAATTGCCCTGTGGTGTCTGAAGCCCCAATAATTTTCTCAGCAATCAATCCTTTATCAAAGCCACTCACTTCTTTGTCTTTGCCTTTTTTTGAGTCACTCTTTTTCTTCTTTTTACCTAAATCTTCATCATCTGATTCTATGGTTTTAGATTTTTTATCATCCTTGGGTTTCCTTTTTTTGTCTTCACCCTTTTTCTTCTTCTTGGATTTTTCTTCTTCCGAATCAGAATCGTTGGATTTGCCCTTCTTGTTCTTCTTCGTCTTTTCATCTTCTGAATCAGAATCGTTGGATTTGCCCTTCTTGTTCTTCTTTGATTTTTCATCTTCTGAATCCAAATCAATAGATTTTCCTTTCTTGTTCTTCTTCGTCTTTTCATCTTCTGAATCGGAATCTACAGATTTACCCCTCTTTTTTTTCTTTTTCTCAACGTCTGAGTCATCCAATTTGCTTTTTTTGGAAGAAGGTTCAGATTCCGATTCAATATCAGACTCAACAATTTGTGATTTCTTGGACTTTTCATTCTAAACAAAATAATTCAACAACTTTTTATTTCATAGGATAAAAAAATGTTAATAAATTTTTAAAAACAAACTCATTTGAATATTCCAAACATGCAATAGAAAAATTGCTTGTCCCAACCCTATTCAACCACATAAACAGGACTGGCATTTGACATGTTAAAATTAAAAAAGCCATAACACTGACATTTGAAAAGAATGTTGCTTACCTTTTTATCAGTAGTTTTGGAATTATTGGATTCTAATGAAGATGTGGAGTTCTCCCTCTGTCTTTTGCTTTTTGGACCTGGCATTTTGGCCTTCCTTTTTTCTTCGAATTCCGAAATAAGCTCAGGGCAATCTAGGTTATCTTCTGGTTCCCAAGTGTTGTCATCTTCAGAGTATCCTTTCCATTTGAGAAAGTATTCAACTTTGCCGTTTACCACCCTGCGGTCTATAATTCTTTCGACTGAATACTCTTCTTCGCTGTCTGAACTGGCTTCAACCTTTTTCTTGCCCATAATTATTCTGCAACAAACCGAGCTGTTGAACCAACGCTATTATAAAAGTACGATTGTTAATGGAAGGATGAAGGCATTTAATGCACCAGTTAGTCTAACAACTAATAAAAATTAGTTCTACGAAATATAAAGTTATATTTACCCTTGTAATGAACGTAAAAACCTCGAATACCGGGAAACAGTTTTGTTATACAGACGCAGCACAAGTAAATGGCGGTCTAAAGTACGAGTCGCCAACCCTTTAACATTAAAAAAACTAACTAATACAAACAAAAATCGTTAAATCCCAAGTAAAGAAATTAAAATTATACCTACATAATATTTATTTAGTTTATTTCTATTTTAATCTAATTGTATGCTAATAATGTGTAAAATAAAAAAAAAATGGAAAAAATAAAGAAGTTTCAGTTGGCAACATGGCGTCCATAACCAACAAAATTTTCATATGTCAAAAATATAGTCGTCTATGATATTGACAACAAACAAATCACAAATGTTTTAATTATTATGGCTTCAGGAATGGATAAAACGCAGTTAGCTGCGGTTCTTCAGCTATTAAAAAAGTACAATCTCAAGGTAAAGAGAATTCCTCTGTTTATTGTGACTTTTAATAATAATACTGATTAAAATTATAGGAAACTGAAGAGCTCCTTAAAAAAGAGGCAAACATCGAAGACGGAGCACCATTGCAATCAGATTCTGAAGTTAGCAGTGTATTAACAGGTTACAAGAGTGACGGTGACCCTGCTTCCTATGAAGCATCTTACATTGAACTTAAACGGTTTGTGGAGAGTTCCTTGGACATATACAAACATGAACTGGGTACTATTTTGTACCCCGTACTTGTACACATGTACCTAGAACTCGTTTACAATGGCCACACTGAGAAAGCCATAGATTTGATGAAAAAATTTGGTCCTGAGCAGGACACATACTACCAAGACGATTTAAAAAAGTTATCCATGGTAACAAGAAGGGATCACATGAACGTTAACGAGTTAGCTGACACATTTAAGTCAAATCAATTTATTATTAGAATGTCGAGGGATACACTGTCATTACTTAAAAGACATTTGAACGATAAAAAGGCATCTGTGCTGTTGAATATTGTTCAGGAGCATTTATATTTTGATATGTATGAGGGGGTTGCAAGGAATAAGGGGCAAATTGATGCCACTTCTGGGGCTGTAGGGGGGGAAGCAAAAAGACAAGGTAAAAATTAATTTTATATATATTTTTCAGTCCCTTCTACTAAAATAAATTTTAATGCACTTTTTGTTTTTTTTTCATTTAAATGTTTACTAAAGCCACAGATTTTTTGGGGTTTTAGATAATAAAACTAAGGTTTACTATGGAATACCAAAGGCACAAGATTTCCAGACTTTATCGGCAGCTCCTGTAGAGGATGAGGAGGAGCAGGGAGATCAAGATAACCCCGATAAACCTAAGAAAAAAAAGGCAAAAAAAGATCCTGCCTTTTCAAAAAAAACCAAGTCTGATCCCAATGCCCCACCAAATGATAGGATACCAGTTCCAGATTTGTAATATGTAATAATAACCTTGGTGAAAAAAAATATTTTTTTTTTATTTTACAGGAGAGACAATGACAAACATGAAAAAGTAAAAGCATTAAGGGAAGTTTCAAAAAGAGTGGCATTAGGACCTGAATCTTTGCCTTCTGTTTGCTGTTATACTTTACTTAATGCCAATTATTCGTGAGTAACAAAAAAATTATAGTTTTTTATTACAAAGTTTTTTTTAGGGTTACATGTGCAGAAATAACAGAGGATTCCAGTATGCTAGCTGTAGGATTTAATGATTCAATAGTCAAAGTTTTTACTTTGGTTCCTCAAAAATTAAGGGCAATGAAAAGTGTTGACCAACTGCAAGATGTAAATATTGAGGCAGAGGATGTCTTGGTAAGTTAAATAAATATTTGTTGGCAAGTTATAAATTATAATTATTAATTTATTATTAATATTAAATTAAATTTACCTAACTTATTTTTATTTTGTCTTCAAAATACTATATTTTTTACTATTTTATTTGTTTTTTTTTAATCAAATAAAATATATTGTTTGAAAGTTAATAATATTTACTAAATACCAAATAAAATAAATATAAAAGGTGCTTAGAAAAAATTTAATTTTAGTTTTTATGTTAAATGTTTTAAATAATGGGTTTCAAATAAAATATCTTGTTTTGAAGCCATTTATGAGTTAAATGTTTTCTATGAAATAAAATATCCTGTTTTAAAGCAAATATAAAGAATGAAATGAAAAGTGTCAAATTACAACATCAACATTGCAAGAAAAATGTAAACAACATATTTTTTCTAAATTTATTTATTACAAAATTGTATTTACAAATAATTTCAATTTAGGTCCAGTTGCCAAATAAAAACCCTACATTGGCCACCATGGAGCCAACATTAAATAAAACAATTTAAACTTGTGCAAAATATTATATTTTGGGATGTTTCAATCCTGGGCCATTTTATTATCAGCAGCATGCTGCTGTTTGAGTTTCTGTTATGGACTGTCCTTGAAGATCATTGGCTTCCTTGTCTTGGCACCTTTCCTGCACAATGCAAAAAGATAGAGATTATTTTAATTTCTTACTCTGCAGTACTTGAGTTTCTGTTACTTCAAAGATCATATTTGTGGTTTTATCCTATTTCTTGTACACTGTAAAAAGAACTATGATTTATATTGTTTTTTTTTTCAATTTTTTATGGGAATTTAGTTTGTATGTTTTTTAATCCAGTTTTCCTTCTTATAGACCTATCCCATAAAACAGACTTTTGGATAGCGCGTGCCTGAAGAAGAGTGGTATCTCTTTCTCTTTTATAATTAAAAAAAGGACAAGGTGCCTTTTCACGCACGCGCTATCCAAAAGTCCGTTTTATGGAATAGGTCTATTGCGACTATCTTCAAAGTAAATGGAACAAATACAAGCTACAAAACAAACAAAAATATTAACCTAAATTATTATTTTTATTTATATATCTGTCATTTCTGGGTATTACCAACAAAATATATTGGATTTACAGTTTTTTTTTCTTTTGGCATTGTTTTTACATATTTTCACTTGGCAGGTAGACATTTTTTACACTTTAAAAACAACTCACACCAAAATGTTTTGTTCTCTTAACAAGACTCTAGCGGCGGCCATTTTTGTTTTTTACAATTGTTGTGGTTCGGGTTTGTGCTGTTTATACAGATTAAACATTGTGTTTCTTACAGAGGCTCTTGTAAGCCTTTTAAAGAGGCGTTAAAGTCACTTTAAAGTGCCAAAGGCAACCATTTTACTCATCTTTGGTAAAACATAAACATTATTTCATCAGGGATATCAAATGTCAATTTTAAGATTAATTTATCATAACCCATCAAGTAACTGCGTGTTTTTACTTTAAACATTCGGACTACTTTTTTAAGGGTAATCTATGGCACGCCATTTTAACATTTATTAAATAATTTTAAAACTTTATTGCTTTTAAATTTTCCAGTTCACTTCTGTATTAAACAATATTATTTCCAATAATTTTTTTTATAAAAATAACTTTAAAGTATAATTTATTTTGGCAGAATTTTTTAAATCCTAAATAAATATTTTATTAAAGTACTTAGATTAAATTGGCAAAGTTAAATTTTTTAGTATTAAAAATAGTTTTGAGACATTTAAAATAAAAACACATATAAAACATTTTTTACCAAAGTTTAAAAACTTAAATTTATTTAAACTCAAAACAATTGATAATTAAAGTTTAAAATGTTGTTTTTTAAAAATTGTAGTTTTAATATTTTATTCTACAAAATTATTGGTTTAAATTTGTAGTCATGTGAGAATTTTTGTATTAAAAATGTATCGATTATCATTTAATGACCAATAATTTTGTAAAATAAAATATTTGAACTAAAATTTTTAAAAATCAATATTTTAAGCTTAAAGTTTTACAGTTACAGTTTATATTTAAAATATGTTTGGACTATGAAATGTTTTGAAAGGGGATTTTCATATTTAATCTTAGGCGCGTATGATGGACGACAGGTCTGGCGAATCTAGCCGCTCGCTTTACGGCCACGCCGGTCCTGTCTATTCGGTGTCGTTCTCGCCCGACAAAACTCTCTTGCTGAGTTGTTCCGAGGATACCACAATCAGACTGTGGAGCATCCAGATATGGACCTGCCTGGTGGTGTACAAGGGGCACATGTTTCCCGTGTGGGACGTCAAGTTCTCTCCGCTCGGTTACTATTTCGCCACCGCTTCATACGACAGGACGGCCAGACTGTGGGCCACAGATCACTATTCGCCCCTCAGGCTGTTTGCCGGACATTTCTCGGACGTTGACGTAAGCAGAATTTTTTTTATCCATATAGGATGAAGAATATATATAATCTTCATTCTATATGTATACAGTTTATACTTATCTTAGAATCTACTGAAGTCACAAACAATTTATAAGGGGCAAATTTTCATGAACTTTTATTTTCAATGGAATACAAGGTTTATTTTTTGCATTTTTGTATTCTACACACTTTTTAGTATGCTTTGTAAATATCCAAGTAGTACATAGTTTCATGGTGTTAAATTTAAATAAGTAATTAGGTGCATTTTAAATTTTACAAATTTTAGAACTCTTATTACAGACAAAATACCGCAAAAGAATTTAGTACAAAGGTTTAATTGATAAGGTCAAAATTGAGGCAATTACGAATAAAAAATATGAAGGGGTCATTGCAAGAAGTGCCTTAGTCACAAATAGGTGATTCTAGAGGTCTCGTTATTGATACGATCCTCGTATCGATACGGTATCGATATAAAATTATTTTATCGATAATATCGATACGATAAAAATTTTTTTTTCAAAATTTCTGTTTGATTTTAACTGAAATATAAAATATGTACGACCCTTAACAAATAAACACGAGACGTTCAAAACCAAAAATATATATTTTTATTTATGGATAATATAAAACATATTTTTCAAGTCCACTAAAATCTACTAAACCGACTGGAAAATTTTACTTAAAATCAATCTTCATAGATGGCGCCAAAGTTGTGTCTAGAGGTAGGAACGCCTAAAGCTTAATTTTCATGTATCCGTTTGTCCGTCATCCGTATGTCAGTTTTTCAATAAAATCGTCCGATAAGAAATGTTCTAATTTTCATGCATACGTTTTTTAATGACGTTTAACGGATTGATTTTGCGACAAGTAGAAATTAAGTGTCAGTATATTCACTTACTAAATTTACCTAATGCTTAATTGTCATAGTTACAATTATGTCAACAATTGTAACTTTAACAGTTAGCTGTCTAATAAATTTAAAGGTAGGTAAATAGGTATACCTTATAAAAAGAATATACTAGCCCTAATATACATTAAAATGTATAGTTTTAAAAAAGCAGGTCCTTTTTTTTGTTTGTCCTTTCTTTTTTTCCGTTTTTCTTATTAAATAAAAACTTAACAGTAAAACATTATTCACATAACGAACGTAATATTTCCGTTTTACAATCTTATTGAAAAAATATAAAAATATTTGAAAATAAATTATCTTAAAATAACGTTAGGCGTCAAAAACAGATGTGTAGTGACGGATGAGTTAAAATTATTTATCCTTTCTCTGTCAGACGTACGAAGTTGAAACTTGACGGACCGATAAAATGTCATAATTTTCGAATTATAATTAGACCAATAAGAGCGCTCCCGGATGAACGGACTGACGGACAAACGGATACATGAAAATTAAGCTTAAATGCAGGAATGGGCTCCATCTGAATATAAATTTTGCGTAAAATAAAACCAAATCAAACCAAACCCAACCAACCCAACCCCCCGTAACCGCCCTATTGAAGCCTAACCACCCTATTGAAGACGATTATTCTATCGGTAACAAAGTTCGAGATAAAGGGCAATGCACGATGGAATAATCGTCTTCAATAGGGTGGTTAGGCTTCAATCGGGTGGTTACGAGGGGTGGGGTGCCTGGGTTTGGTTTGATTTGGTTTGCTTTATTTTACGCAAAAATTATATTAAGATGGAGCCCATTCCTGCATTTAGGCGTTCCTCTAGAGGTGAGTGCGAAAAAATGTATTTTACTAGTTTGTTTTTACTTTAAACAAAATCGTTAAATAACAAAACAAACATCGGTTTCTTATGCAAAAATTGGTAGAAATAACGATACGTAGAAGTATATCGATACAGGGTTTTTTAGTACGTATCAATATCGTATCGATATTTCGTATCATTAACGAGACCTCTAGGTGATTCTGAGATATTGCGGTTTGAAGGTTTATTTTTGATTATGAAATATTACACAAAATATTATGATGAAAATGTGTGGATTGGACTTCCATGATTAAAAAAGAAAAAACGTTACATCAAACAAATTTTTGGTATTTCAACGAAACAATGTTTATATTGACTTTTTATTATTATTACTAATAACTAAAACTTTTAATTAATTTATTGCTTGTTAAATTGGACAAGCTGTGCCCAGATAAAAAATCGAGAAAAAACGTTTTTAATGCGCATTAAATGAAAATTTCTTAAACTCACTTTTTTTAATTATAAATTATTATAAAATATACCTTTATTAAAAATTCTTATGTATGTAAGAAAGTTCAGAAATAGAACATAGTTTTTGCTTTTACTTAGTTTTTTACCAACATTTTTTTATAAATAATAAATTTATGTTCTTTTTGAAACAAATCCTAGTGTAAATAGAACCTTAAAAGGATTATTAACAAGCAAAAAAAAATATTTTCAAAATGATTAAGCATTTTTATATATGTACGTTTTTTAATATGTTAGTAAATTTGTGACCCAGGGGACCATTTGTTTTTCTTTTTTAAGGGCTTATTTAAAAAAAACCAACTGCCCACTTTTAGGCGTTAAATAACACCCCTAAATAAACAAAATTTGAAAAAAAAACAGGTTTGTAGATTATGATCTTGTTTTTACTTTTTCTTCTTTAGATGTACAAGAATTTTGAAAATGACCCATATATTGTAATTTTAAATATTTTCTATTTAGTTTAAGGGTTTTTTCCTAATAAACAGTTTTTAAAATAAAAATTTTATGTTTAAACTTTGTTTTTGCAAGTTGTTATCTATCGCTATATATTTGTTCATTAAATATAAAAGCAACTCCCATGTGCATCATTTTAGTGACACTGTATATCAAAAGAAACTTACTTTGTTTCAAAATATTAAAATATGGCCCAATACAAAAAATAGCGGAAATTACTCTAAAAGTATTTTGTTCCTAATTAATGTATTTTCAAAGTACCTATATTTAAAAATGTTTGTCCAAAAATGCACAATAATAACACCCTGTTCCACTGAAAATAAGAAAGTTATTGTCAGGGAAAACAAAACACCCTGTTTGAATAAAAAGAAATATTAATTAAAAAATTTTACTTTACAAATTTTTTGTGTCTTTGTATATCATAGTGACCCACATTTCACTTTGTCATAATAACAGGGCTCCCACACCTCCTAAAACTCTTATATCTTAAAAACTCCTAAAATTGCCATCAGTCTCCTTAAATATAAAAAGGCCAACCTGACTTCGTTTAATTAAGGTAGTTGTGCTAAAAATATTTTTTTTAAAGTAATTAAAAAAAATATATTTTTAGGTTCTAGTTTATTAAATTCTTTTTAAAATGATATATCACAACCTACACTTAGAAAAAAAAACAACAAAATATACCTAAAAACGAAATCCATGTAGTAGGTCCTAAACTTCTAAAAAATTGTCATTTTTACCCATATTTCGTTTGTTTTTGACAAAAATATACCGTGTTATACAAACAAAAAGATTTTTTTTCAATGATAGCTAAAATAGTAAAAAATTTAAAGAATATTTTGCTGTATTATGCAAACTTTATATTTTTTCTATTATGAGATTTTTGAGGAACAAGATCCACATTACAATTATTGTTAGTTATTAACCCTTTCACTGCCGGCAACGCGGCTACCGCGTTCTTGTGTATTTTACAATATGCCGATCACGCGGGACCCGCGTTCTGTACGGTGGCATATAGCATGGTTTTTGTCGCTGGGTGCCGCCAACGCGTCTACCGCGTTTGTTTATTTGTTTTTTGTGTTAGTATTTTTTCATATAGAACCTTTCAATAAGAAACGAAAGAAACAACTTTAGTCCATTTTTATTTAAAATTTCTAAAAAAAGCTATCGGCACTGCAATATGGGCGGACTTTTACGTCGGCAGTGAACGTGTTAAATAAACGATTAACATTTTTTTTCTCAAAATATGAATACATTGAGTTTTTTTAGCCATATCTATCGACGCGTTTTTTTTTAAATAAAATTAAGTGTGGTGAAATTTCTACTTGTGTTTAATAAAATTAAAAAAGAGGGGTAAAATTACTACTTTTGTATCTGAGGTATATACCTCAGATACAAAAGTAGTAATTTTACCCCTCTTTTTTAATTTTATTAAAAAAAACCTCGGCGAACGATTTAACTAAAAAACTATTTGTACAAAAGAAGTTATATTTTTGTTAAAAATAATTATTATTTTTTTCTTACTTTTTAAGTGTAGAGTTGTTTTTAGTAATTAAATAAATTCATTTGAATATTGTTTATCTCCTAAAATTCTCCAAAAAAACCTCCTAAATTCCTAAATAAAATTTGTAATTTAGTCGTTTTTGCATTGAGCAAGTCTATTAATATTTTTAGTGCATTCAATTCCACCCGAATTCTAACTACATAGCGACCGGTTCTAGCGACCGCAGGGTGTGTCTGTGGGACTGCACCACCGGCAACCATGTGCGTCTCATGACCGGCCACAAGTCGCCCGTGCAAGTTCTCGCCTTCAGCGTTTGCGGCCGATTTTTGGCTTCGGCCGGCACCGACTGCAAGGTGCTCGTGTGGGATTTGTCGCACGGCCATCTGGTGGCGGAACTCACAGGCCACGAGAAAACAATACACTGCCTGACGTTCAGCAGGTGCGGGAACCTGCTGGTGTCCGGCGGCTTGGATTGTTTCCTGAAAGTGTGGGATTTTACCAAGCTGACCGAGGAGGCCAGTTCCGAGGAGGTCAACGTCTCCCATAATCCAGATGTGAAATCGGGAGACGGGTATTTGTTGAGGACGTTTGCCACTAAAAGTTCTCCATTGATTAGCTTGCATTTTACAAGAAGGAATTTATTGATTGCAGTTGCAATGTTTGATGGTGTCAGCACATAAAATTGTATTTTTATGTTTTAATAGACTGTTTTAAGTACTTTTGACTTTTATTTGCCGGAAGAAAAAATTTAACAATGCGTTATTGTAAACTAAATGTTTTCCCTTTTAACTGCAAATGCCCCACATCAAAAAGTCCCACTTGACATTTCAATGGGGAATGCAGTCAAATAATTGATAACTATTCGGAATTTGACAATAGATATTTTCCTGACAAGTGCGCAAAGTTACATTTTTCCGCACGCTACTGCACGGGCAAGCATTAGGTGCGGAAAAATTACTTTGCGCATGTGTTAGGAATAATATTTTTTTTACTAGCGTGCGCAAAGTTAGATAACAACGATTATTAAATTAATTTTTATTTATGTTTATTACAAATAGTGTTGTCACTGAAAAAAACACTCTTGTTTTTTTTCAAAGAAATGGTCAAAAATACTCAAATTATATTAAGTGACAGGATTTTCGAAATGTCACTGCTGAGGAAAGAATTTTTGGCACATTCTGTCACTAGAAGATTATTAAATACTAATTATAGTTTCTTACTTACCATTAGTAATATTCTTAAACAAATTGTTTAACGTTGTTGGCTTTCGCCCTGAGCCTTTTCTTTTCGGCATTTCTACCAACTATGCATCAACCTATAAAGCCGCAGGTCTTAACTCTTCTATTATAATACCGTATAGACTATACGATATGCCAAGTCAGCATTGCCGACAGCGAGGCGCCCTTTTACCATACGTGGGTGAGAATGAAAAAAAACAACTTTTGTTTTTTTTCAGTGAAAAAAAACGTTTTTTTTACAACACTAATTACAAAGGAACAATTAATAATATTTTCTAAATTAATTCTAGAACAGGTTAATTCTTTCAACGGGTGACTTGTACTATTTAAAAAAGTTTGGCTTAACTCAGAAGAGCCGTTTTTTATGTCCAATATTTTATTTGATATTTTTATTATTGGGTCAAGGATTCTTCCATGTAGCTCTCGGCGACAGCCGTTGATTTCCAGCCTCCAAGTCGCTTAACATTGGAAATTCCTTCCCCAGAATTGGCTAATATGGTAGCGGAGGATCTACGAAAACTATGCATAGTTTTGACCTGTGTAGTAGGGTGGAGCGAAATATGAATATTTTTAAAATTGAAAACGCCTGCATATAGAAAAGTTGTGTATGATAAAAATATAAATATTTTGGTGAAAAAAAAATTATTCTTCCGCTGCCCCAAAGGTATCCTAAATATAAAAATCGGTTAAACATTTTTTTTGAGGCAACTTTTCCAAAATTGGGCACTTTGATTTTCAAAAAAAAGAAGCTAAATATTTCCATATTTGACACTGACTGGGGGTCCGCCCATTTCGCTTGTTTTTTTTTTAATCGATGTGTCCAATTTTGAAAAAGTTACTGATATTCAAAACAAACATTTTGGTGATAAAAAGCATATATTTTTTTAATTCCTTCCACTGCTGCAGAGCCATGGCAAACACAAAAATTATAATATTTGAGCTGGAGCAAAAAACGGTAGTAATACAAATTTAATTAATTTTTTAAAATCAACATACATGTGGGTTATTCTCAAAATAACTACAATCTTTGCGTGACGTGTGTTTTTTTCTCCCATATTAAAAAAAAATGGTAAAAATAAGTAACATTTTTAAAGTACACAACGTTAACTAACAGTACTTTAAGTAAAAAAAAAATAAGAAAAAAAAATACCGCCCAAAAAACTGATCTGAATAGAGATATTGTCCTTTCCGTGGAACGTGACTATATCGTGTTGGTAAGTTTCAGTTAATGTAGTGAAAAGCCTGCATATTAAAAAAACCTAAAAAATTGCCATTATTATTAAATACCCCAAAAATACATAGATATGGTTCATATTTCTTTTTATTCTTTTTAATTTAATATTGTAGTTTAGTCATTTTATACGTTACCAGTTTCGATCCATTCCGAGGACTTATTTGTAAGTGCAAAATTTCAAAAGTATTTCGCGCCACTCACGTCAACCATTAATTTTATGTCATTAAAAAACCTGTCATTTGTTATTTAAGTCGCCCTTGTCAGTTCTTTTTTGAAAGGTTGTAAAGAAGCGTTCATGTTTATGTACGAGGCTCCAGTGTAGAAGCATAGGCTGTCCTTTCTGTTACAATTATATTTCAAACAGTAAGTATTGAATTATTTTCTAATTGAATACGTCAATGCAGAAACTGAATATGTCCTACCTATCTAGTTTTGAGATAAATAAGAAAAACTGAACAGAAAGTGGACATATGTTCTGGACATATTCAGTTTCTCTACTATATTAACGCCTTTGTATATTCTAGATTACCGTGACATGTGAAATTTCTACGCCATTCGATCGGGCTCCCTTTACTTATAGTAAATCCATGTTTAACTCAATAGCCCTAAAAAGTGGACATATTCAGTTTCTGCATTGACCTATTCAATTATTGTCATTATTATTGTCAAAGTTTTTATTTTTGGCACATGACAAATGCGAAGGCATAACCTAAAATTTACCTTTCTTATAGAGAATAATATACATAGATGTCCATTCAGTGGACGTCTTTTCTGTGGACATAATTTACCCATAAATAGAAAAATTAAGGTTTGCATGCAATATCAATCTTATTTTAGTTTAGGATTTAACTAAAGCTTTACAAAAATGCTCTTGTAATAATATTACCAAACTTTTTAGTATTAAAAAAATAATAAACCGAAAGTGTAGTTATTTTGAGAATCACCCATGTATGTATACGTACATTTTAAATGCAAATGCGTGCGGAAAAGTGCAACTTTGCGCACGCAAATGGGTGCGGATAAGTGTTACTTTGCGCACGCTAGTAGAAAAAATAATTTACCGAATTATGCCGCAAAAATTAATTATTTTATCAAAATGCTGTTTGGTTTTTAAAATTTATCTGACATTGTTCGTAATAATGCTAACAATTAAATGATATATGTAGGTAATTATAAAATTAAGGCATTCAACAGGAATACCAATTTTAAATATCAAAAATTCCAAAGTATATTAACATAATTCCGAAGAAAAAAACAAACGTTATTTTTAGAAATTACGTCGAAATTTCCGACAAATGCATAACCTCAATTATTTGTCTGTACCTATTGCTTATTTAAATATCAAAGTGGGAGTTTTGTTGTAAAAAAATATTTAAACGCTTATTATTATAAGCGTTTAAATATTTTTTTACAACAAAACTCAACTATCATTTCATGATGATACAAATGTTATTTTTGTAATAAAACACGACGGTTTAAAAAACAATTTTATTTTATCTTAACATTTATAACTTCTACCTAAAAATATCTTAGTTATAAAAATATAAATATACAGGTGGTACGTTGTATAACAACGTACAAAAACAAACAAATTTCAGATTAAAGCAAGCAAATTGTTCTGCGCATTTTTCTAGTTTCGTGCAGATCATAGAACATAAAGGATGGAATTGTTGTCTTACAAAGTTGGTATAGTGCTAAAATTTTACCTGAAATAAAACAAAATATATTCTATATAAATCGATCCTGTTTATCAAATTTAAAAACATCTATTTCAGTCGCACGCCGAAAAATATTTACATCTTCAATTAACGCCGAATGAATCAAAAATAACTCGGCGCAACACTTTTTGACTAATTGAATTTTCTGGCCGGTTAATTTCGCATAGCGTTTTACATATCGCTAATGGGTACATTAAACAAACAACCACTGATAGTTTGACAGTTTATTTTCTATGGCCAATTTATTTTTGCTCGATATTTATTTATGGGATTTTGTTGCCAATAACTGTTAGTCGAACATGTTCGGTTAGATTAAAATTTAATCATTTATTGCATAAATATTTTTGGTAATTGCTTTTATTTACTTACATAATTTATACGATTCCAGAGTAAAGTACCCAAAGGGCTAGAAGAAGGCCGATTAGAATGAGGTAGGTGGTCATAAGACTGGCTCCTTCATTAGCGGCAGGCATTTTGAATTATCTAAAAAGTAAAATAACATTTTTATTTTTTTAACATAATAATGTAAATACAAGTTATTTCCCAGCAAACATATTCATGGCTTAATAATGGCATTTTTAGCCAAAACTTTCCTTGTACCCCAGGTAGCACAACGTGACATTAAAAATTAGAAGTGACGAAAACGAGACAATATTTCGTTACGATTAAGGAAATTTTAATAAAAAGTAAATAAATTGCGTGACGCCAAATTCGTGACGAGGGGTCTATGAAAATACGTGACGAATTTTTTCATGAAGTCGTTAGTCACTCGAAATAGTGATAATTTTACTTTAACTTTTGGTATAAAATTCTTGACGTGCAGCTCGTTACAAAAACGTTACAAAATATTTATACAAATCGTCACGAAAACATCACGTAAAATCGTGACACCAATGCGCAGTCGCCAATAGACTATTGGCGACTGCGCATTGGTGTCACGACTTTACGTGATGTTTTCGTGACGATTTGTATAAATATTTTGTAACGTTTTTGGCAATAGTCATATGTTCTGTGCATCTCCATCATCATCAGAGATAAAGTAGGATCTCCATTTTGAATGTTTGGTAACGACCCAAGCCATTGGTTTCTGTAGGTTTTTCTGCAAAGTTTTTAATGGTAAACAAAAGGATAGTTTAAAACCGTAAGTACTTTTGCTTTTCTATATTTCAGTAGCTTAAGACAATTGTCTGCAATGCTAAACAACTCCACACTCTAATCTAAGAAATGTTTTGCTGTAGCAACAAAATATAAGTAACCACAACATTTTTAGTGTGTTAATATATCCTTAACAAATTTATTATTATAGCTTAAGTATTTTGTTGAATTTCTACTGAAAGAGGAAAAAATAAATTTTTTTGTGCGTGAAATAAATTTTAACAAAGCCATGGAGAAAACTGCTTATTTCTTATGATCATTTTGCAGGTCAATTAAAATTAAAAAATTGGTAACCAACATAACATCCCAAATAGCATTTTCATTAGAGCTTCGCGACTCCCGACCAAATTTGTACC